ACACACACACACACACACTCAGGCCCCCCAGGCCCCATGCCACACGTATTGCCCTCCCGGTCCCAAGGCCGGATAGCGTACTAGAACAAGGGCTCCAGGCCCCACTTTCCTCATGCGAGTGGGCTTATTGCTACTTCAGATCCAACACAGTTCTGGCACGCTAGACGTGATCACGCAATGGCAAGCCCAGGGCGTGACTGAAGCGGGCATTGACCCCTTCATACATTGTGCTCGCGAATCCAGGAAGCCATCACTGGGCACACAGGCGACACCTGAGTCTCACCCGCGGAGCTCCACATGGGTACATAAACGTACATACATGCGTGCGTTACGCAGAGCACAGCTCAAAGGAGAGGTGCTGGTATTGCGGCAGATGGATTGGGCCGGACCCCCAAGTCCCGATCACCAGACTCCCAACCTCGCAGCAGTCCCGACGTCACCCTACACACCATACCACCCACAGCACAACACATTGCCATGTTTTCTCTTGGAACACGGATGGGTTGGACTCTACGATGAATTTCTCCTACACCTGCAGCGCTCCACTTATGACATTGTCCTGCTACAGAGACAAAGTGGCGCTTCGAGTCAATGTGTGAGGACAGGACTCACTACTTCATTCACTCGGGCTCCAGTGCTAAGGACCACAATCAAGCCGGCCTACTCACCATCATCTCCAAACGGGTAGTGGACAAGGGCTCGCGAAGATTCATCTCTGCCATCGATGGGAGACTCATGCGCGTCCAGTTCAAGCATGCACAGCAGATCCAGGCTGTCCCTCTAAGAAGCAGACTGATGATCGGGGGCGACTGTAACTGTAACAGTCCTTGCACGGTCACACTCGCACACTCAGGTCCACATATTTTGCCAAAGCCAGATCATGGGATCCAGGATGCTGATTACTTCAATGCCCTCGTTCAGCGACTGGATCTTGTTGTCCTTAATACGTTCTCTCAAGCAGCCCCTGCACATACATACCAATGGAATCAGCAGAGGTGGCAAATCGACTTCTGGCTGACAAGGCGGCTTCAGGCAGGCGGACTTAGCCAGTCCCGTGCATGACCACCATGTGGGAAGATGGCGAGGCGGCCCGCGCCACTTTCCTGCGCAGGCCAGAATAATGTGTCACTGGCAGCCCTGGGAACAGCCGGTTGCGCAAAGTCCTACAGGGTCGCACACTTGGTCAGAGAACCCTTGGCTCTGGCACTCCACGGTTTTACCTAGTGCCCTCTATGGTCTTGGTGCTTGCGGACTGACTTCGACGCAGTCACAACGCCGTTATCAAGTTCTCCGTCAACTACGTGCTATCGCGAGGCTCGGCCCACCTGACGCACGAGTCCGATCGGGACTTGCTTGCCAGGCTCCATGTACAGGAACCCGTGCATGCCCTGCGCCAACAGCTCGCCCAAATCGTCGCAGGACGAGTTTCTCAAGATGCATTGCGCAGGAACTCTGGCACTTATATGGAACACCACGCCAGCTCAGACCTCAGAGGGACAGCCGGCACCAGTTGCCGAGGACACGCCCAGTGCCAGCCGTATGTCACCCCCTGTGCCCAATGCTGGAGCGTCCGAAGTTAGTTCTGCAAACCGTACTCACACCACCATGGCCGTCCAGGACAACGTGCCACCATTGATGTCGCAGTCCGGAGTCCACACACAGCAATCGTTCCCCTGCCCGCATCGTCCCAAACACTACGATTAAGCCCCTATCCACACTGCGCTGGCACATGAAGAAGGTGCACAAGCTGCACATGCCACAGATTGCATTTTTGCACGATCGGTTCACTTATAGTTGATGGCATGCCCATATGTGCCATGTGCGGGGCTTCGTTCACCAGAAGTACTCGAGGCCCACAACTTCGTCACCAGCTCCCCCGCAAACCCTCAGACCTGTAGAGCCAGAGCCTCAACCTCCCAGCCTTGAAGCATGCACACCCGAACTAGTAGTCGAGCCTTCTGACTGCAACACCGAGGTGACGGACCAAACCGCCGCTGTGACTGCGGTGTCAGCTGAACCAAATCCGGACACTATAGCCTTGCAGCTCGAATACCGGCTGCGCCGCTGATCCAAGTGCCTTTCGTGACTTTGCCACCGCAGTTATAAGTTATAAGGGACAGTTGCCTTGCCGAGTTACTGCGCTCACCCATCATGCCAGGACTGTGACACATCACTGTCTCATATGCGGGCAATGGCTGGCTGCTGCGCGTACCGTAAAGATCCACTTCAGGCACTCACATCCTGATTTGTCTAGTCTAGCGGCTCAAGCCACGCAGCTGGCGACGCGAGTTGGGGGTGACTTCTGCAGGGCTCCTGCCTCTACTGTGATCGTCCTCACACTCGCATTCCTCTGTGGCAGGCGTGCACCCTCGCCCTCTTCTGCGACCATGGATCCGCAAGAGGCAGACCAAGCGACGCAGGAGATAGCGGGCCCCCCCTCGCGAAACGGGGCAATCCTGCAGTGGACCCGGAGCAGCAGAACCCTGCACAAACAAAGCTGGAAAGCCGAACGAGGAGGGCAAGCGACACAACAAGAGGCAGCAAGGACGTTACTGTTACAGAGGTGGTGGCAGAGGCGGTGGCAGAAACACACAACGGGCGGATCAGGATGCGGGGCTCAACAAGGAGACCTTGGCGAGGTCCATCACCAGGAGGCCATCGACACCCTACGCCTCAGCACAAGCTGGATTTGGTGGCTTCGCATTCCAGAGCCCACGGTGATCCCGACATTGATCGAAACGGCGGACATCTGGAGGAACAGGTTGCGCAGAAGGACAGCAAGTTCAAGGACACACCACTCCGCCAGGCCATGTTCTGGAGCTTGATGCAGTTCGTCCGCAACACGCTGGAGAACCTGACCGAGGCGAACAAACGGCTCGCCAAGGACTCCGGATGTATGGACGGCACCCAGAGCTCCGGGCACTCGAGGTGGATGGCCAAAGGAGCGCACTCCCACGCAGAGCTCTAAGATCCTCACGGACATCCAGCACCGCGAGACACTCTCCAGAGTCCAGAGACCACGTGCTTCGACTCGAGTCGCAGATGGAGGGACAGACGGTGCGAGTCATAATGGACATCGCTCTACGATGCCCGGACACGACACAGATGTTCCAGCCCCAGCAGCTCTCGGCCTTGCAGGGGAACTCTTCACTTCAGCTAGTAGGGCTACAGTTCCGCCGATCGACCATGCAGCGTCCGCCGATCATCAAGCAGCTCCTGGATCACGCGTTTCACTGAGGAGCCTTACGCTGAATAATCCCAGTAAGTATTGCTATCTAAACGTAGCAGTTCGCACCATGCTTGCCGTGGACACATGCTAGTGATGTCACCAGTTCGCAGGATGTGGCTTCCGAGAGCGGTTTTTCAACAGCAGGTGCACAGGCCGTCAGCTTCTTAGCACGCCCCCCCCCCCCCCCCCCCAACCACATTTCCTTCCAGGCATGCTGCTCTGGAGATTCATGCTATCGGGCTGGGCTCGCGCTCAGGAACAGCGTGACTGTGCAGAATTCCTACATCACCTGTGTAAGTCCTCTGTCCACAGGCGATGGCCGGGGACTGGTGTGCGCGTAAGCCGTAAGCTGGAGGGCAGTAACATACGTCAGCTCGAGACGGCAGGGTGTACGCAGGGCCATCTTTCTCGAGATGCCAGCTGGGGACCAGCTGAGTGCCCAGCTGCTCATTCATTGCTGGCACACACACAGCATGCCATTCATGCGCTCAGGCGCCCACCGATGATTTTGATGCTTCAGTTCTCAAGGTACTCCTTTGGCCCCGGGGGCGCAAGCAAGAATCACGTTTGTATCCACTGACCACGGGTCTTGAATGCTCCACTCTTCACCGCTGCAGGTTTGGAGTCGTGCAACATTGCATACACAGTAGAGGCAGCCATCCTACACCGGGGTGACCGCATGACAGCGGGACACTACACCACACTCATACACACTGCAGGTGAGACTCTGTTCTGCGACGATGTCATCGCACCACAGCCGCTCGAAACACATTCGGACCTTGTGGACGGACAACGATTTCGGTCCAGGGAGGTTTACATGTTGATTATTTGTTGGCGCGGGGAAGCGCCGGCGCCCTAGGTCGGCCTTTCTTTCTTCGTACTGCCCTGGCTTGTATTGGATGCTTGCCAGGTGTGCCGCGATGCCTGGGGGCCTCGCTGCGGGATCGCTGCGCTGCACATTCAGTGAGCGAGAAAAGCAATATTCTCCGTTTCCGACTGACGCACTTTTCCCCAGCCCTACTCTCTATTCTCTTCTGTACGCCTCCCCACCAGCCTGTCTGTCACATGTGGCACACCGCATTGCAGGTCTGGCTCGACTGCCGAGCTCACACATGCCCTACGCATGCGTCCTCACAATCGGAAGTCGCAGTAGATGTCGTTGTCGAGCAGCCACGCTCCTGTCCAGGAGTAACACAGGTGTGCCTGTGAGTCTGAGCCCTAAATCCTAAATCGGAAGTCGCAAATCGCAAAGAAACCGGAAGGCTCAATTTTTTCGTGTGGATCCAACACACATCGGCAAAGTGGTGCCCAGGGAGGAGTGCGATGAAGATGAGACGAAGGGCCCTGGTGAGGGCCCTGGTGGATTACCTCCCAGGTCGGAGCCAGGTCTTCGTCGCAGTCTGTTTTGCAGGCATTTCGCAATCCTTACATGCGCTGCCTTCGTTGACTTTCTTCCCAAGAGCACAGTTGCGCGACTCCTGCGGTCGACTGTGTTTGTCGTCGGGGCCTGGCCTGTCCGCGGACGGATCACGCCGATCCGCGCCCATGGAAGTCGCCCTGCATGGCTCAGCTGCTGGTCGCGTCATGACCGTGTGCCATCCGTTGTTTTTTCTCGACCTCCTGCCTCCATCTTGTCCGTCACACATATGCCGAAACCGCGATCCTCCAGAAACTGTGGGGCCGTCTTATAGCGGTCCTTGGCTTTCGACCGCTCTTTCTGCGGACCCGCCAGCAAGTTTCGGAACATGGCTACACGGGGCACAATCAATGCTCACTCTGCAGGAGCTTTGTAGCAGCAGCACAGCTGCAGAGTCCCATCTGGTGGCTTTTGTTTTCGGGGTCCTGCGTTTCTTCAGCCAAGCACCTGCACCCAGGACTGCCGCTCCCCACAAGAATCGGTATGTGAAAAATTCCATGGCCAGCTTCACGGCGTCCTCGTCTATGAGCGGCTGGAACTGCGCCGACGTCGCAACTGCGCCGCGCAACACTGTTGGCCAAGCTTGCATGAGGATTGTGTTCAAGAAACTTGTCAAAGACACCCAGTATCCTGCCTTGTTCAGGCACGATGCAAATGTCTCGTCCTTCGAGGCCAGCGTTTTCGTTTGGGCAAAGCAGCTCAACCTGTAGTTGTACACTGCATCGCACGCCTCACGGCCGCATTTCCAGCGCAGCAAGGGGCTGTCGCTCGGCAGCGTCGCATGTGGACCGAGGTGCTTGAGCAGTACTCGAAAAAAGCTCTTGGCTCTTGACCAACGGCAGGACGATGTAAAGTCGCCAGGTCTGGCGGGCCTGGCTCTCCGGCTGCGCCGAAAGAAAACACAAAACGGCCGGCCAGTCCCACACTGCATCTCTCTTCAGCTTGCGCCCACCAGCCCGAAAAGAAGGACCCGTGTTGACGGATCACCACTGCAACATTCGTAATGGCTTCGTCTGCCAGGTCTGCCTCTTCCGCATGCACGCTGCGACACAACCTACGATCTATGGCAGTTTCCCATGGCACCGGACCGCCAGTAGCGGCATCGAGGCACCGCTGCCAATTGACGTGGGTGCCTTAAGTTCCAGGTGGAACTCGTTGCCCACGAAGGGCACAGAGAATTGGCCCTCCTTCGGATGGACAAGTTTCTTGAACACAATCCTCATGTAAGCTTGGCCAACAGTGTTGCGCGGCGCAATTGCGACTCGATCTTCGCCAGTCGAGGCACCGCTATGCGGCTGCCATGGCTGCCACATGCACAGCGCTATGCACCAGGACCGCTATGCGGCCGCAAGCCTAAGGCTGCTATGCGGCCCTCCGCCGCTATGCGGCGGAAGCTCGGGCGGGCGCTATGCGCCGCAGCTGCTATGCAGCCGTCTGCCGCCATGCGGCGCCGCTATGCGACTGACACGTGGCCCTTCGCCGGTCGAAACACCCACCACCACCACCACCACCACCACCTCCACCTCCACCACCACCACCACCTCCTCCACCTCCACCTCCACCTCCACCTCCACCTCCACCTCCACCTCCACCTCCACCTCCACCTCCACCTCCACCTCCACCTCCACTTCCACCTCCACCTCCACCTCCACC